GCTCGAGGGCTATAGCAGCTGGGTTAGGTTAGTAACCTTCTCTCTCGACTCGACCCGGCTGGCGTCGGCGTCGTATGACAAGACCGTTAAGATCTAGGATCCGACCAGCGGCAACTGCCTACAGATAATCTAAATAAATAAAACACTTCAGAACATATTATTCGACACTAATAGCTTATTACTCTACTCTGAGATTGGTTCTATTGCGCTTAGCGCATCGGAAGCTTCTAGAGAAATGCGTATTACAGAGCCTCAGCATCCCTAATATCAAGGCGCGGGCGTCAGCTCAGATAGCATATAGATCACACATGATGGCAGGAAAGTGCTTTGGCTTCCCTTAGAGTACAGGCCGAGTGAATCAACTGTTTCAGGGAAGAATATTGGCATCGGCGTTAGGTCAGGAAAAGTATGGATTTGTCATTTAAACATTAGCAGATAAGATTCCTAGAATCTACAGAGCATTAATAAGAAATACTCTTTGTTTTATCACTAGTGCTTTATTTCTCTGCTATCTAGCATTACCTAATATCGGACTAGCTTTATACGTAGTCTACCGGCTAAGAACTGTAGCTTAAGGGGAACCTCCCCTACCACTCGTTTCATAATTCAGTAGTATCTGCTAATTCATTCGCTACTCACAAAGACTATAACAGTTTATGAAAGGAGAAGTACCTATAGATCTAGGCTTCTTTGTAAAAGAAAAAGGGATACTAGCTTATAGTCAAGCAGCCTTACGTCTCAGCATTGAATACCGAGTACGGACTGAGCTAAGCGTTCTCGTAGGAAACTGGATGAATACCTACCACTATAGTTTCTCGGCCTTGACCCACTAGCAAAGAGGACGATCATCTTCCCTAGACCAGCATTGATTTTTTTGCCGAGAATTGCTCTTCGAATTTCTTCACCAGAGAGGCTCGACGTGTCCTCATCCGCGCTCGCACTCTTCCGTTTCTGGTTAGAAACGTCATCTTCCGGCTGAGTGCTTGGAGAGCAAACCTTGGACCCGATCTGCAGCGTACTTGCTACAAGCCATATCGTCGGTCCAAGCCGCTTTACAATCACATTTTTCAGTACGCTAGGACACTTAGGGTTAGCCGCACCACCGTGACCATCTTGTAGATAAATAAGACCTAGAACACTGCCCAAGTCCGGGAGAACGTAGAAGAGGAGAGAAAGTCCCGGAGATATAGGCTATATATACATTCCCCTTACCACTGTTCCTTCGGCCCGCAAATATACAACAGCTAACTAATATCACGTTGCAGCCTCGCAGCTAAGAGATATTCTTAGGGTCTCTAAGCTTATTAGGATTAGCGATCCATACGTCGCACACCTAAACAACTTGTTGGACTATCAGGCCATGTTTCTTCATGCATTATATCACGGGTTTCTAGCGCGTTCCTTGCAGTTCTTTCCAGCTCGCTCTAGCTGATGGTTTGTCTTTATTTGTTGTTTCTCAATTGTTGTTTGTTTGATTCGCTTATTGCCAATCGCCTAGCGCCTATCAGCGAGCCGTATATATGGCCACCGCCTCTTGTTTCTCTTCCTTTTCTCTTCGTACCACACAATCTGATTTGAATCCACCTCACTACCGTGACACATTATCCTCTATATTCACTTTACTTTTTCGTTGTTTCAACACCCTGCTACATTCTACAAGCGAGCACATAACTACTCTACTCTTAAGTATATAAAGCTCGCTGCCAGCCACTCTTTGAAAATTAAGCTACGTTCTCACTTTACTTGCACAGTTTAAACCTTCAACCCAATACCAACACAGGGTTTTCGAATACTATGTACTTAGTTTTTACTTTTCGGCTGTTGTACTGTATAACATAGTGTCAGCCAGTATCACTCTAACAACGCACAGCTTCAACCCTACGGTTAGTTGTTACACAATAAACTGACTCCCTTACACCACACGTTCTTCTACTGCAAGGAATTAAGGATCTCAACAAGAAACGTGTTCTTTTAGATAGCAGCATATATACCTCTATAGGTAGCAGTAATCTAGAAAAAAAGCGGCGTCCAATTCCTCGCGTACAGCTTCACATTAGTTTTTACTTTTCGGCTGTTATACTATATAACATAGTATAGTCCCTACCGGGCTTATCTTTATCCAGCTAGCTTCAAACTTTACAGACCAACAGCATTTTCCATATAATATTTCAAACTACCTAACACAATGAGCGTCATCCTCGAGGCAGTCCTTCGCAAGTGCTACGGAATACTCGGTCTACCCCGTTAGACCGCTCTATCCTAGCATTAAGACTGGCTCCGGGAAGAGAACTAGGAACTACGCAAGGCTCGTACCTTTATCGAGAAGTTGAGCGAGACTTTAGACGCATTCTTGGCAATCAGCCGCGCTAAGTACGACGGAGCTAAGATCCAACTCCTACCCTCTCCCTTCACCCGCGCTACTTCCTACTTTACATGTACATGTTCGGGAGTACAAGATGCGCTAGACTTTCTAAAAGGAGGTTACAGCCATCTACAGGGCTCTGAACCGTCATATGGTTAAGGTTATCGTCAACTCTAGCAAGGATCACAAGCTCTTTGCGGTCGCTACTCACTACAACATCTATCCGGAGAAACCCTCGAATGTCGCGCGACTGTTACGCCGTGTCTAGCCTCTTCTTTTATAGGGAGAAAAAGTTTTCGGTACCTTAGGAGTCAAATTCGGCATCTTCATTGTAAAGACCAGGCAGATTGCTTAGGCGGCATCTTTAGGATGGTTTAAAGCAGGACCAGGTCTCGAGAGAAGGCGTCAAGTTACGGAGTTGAATAACTAGTTCTTCAAGCCTTCGAGTAAGGTTCTAGCACACCAAAAATACGCCTTACGAAATCGAAACAAATGTGAAGTGATTACGAAATACCTAGAACCTCGCGAGTAAACCACGGCCTGTACTCATCCTTAACCCACCGAGCCAGTCTTCTCAACGAAGCGACAAGCTGATAGGCCCTCAACACAATGTCCGTTGCCCCAAGAACTACGTATTGCAGAATCCGAATAGCACAACCGTCATCTACCACTTCAGCGAATAGCAACCGCCATTCGTACCCTTGCACAACCACAAGTGGCAGGACGGGCCATGACTTTGCCGCCGGCGCGAGCTGCCGTAGCCGAGCAAACTGCGCCCACACCCACACCGCCAGCTGTACGTGAGCCTTGTCTTCCCCGGCAGCGCGCTTCGTCTCGATGCTGACGGTAAAAGGTGTATAGCGTACGTGATCCATACGCGTTTGGTTGATGCTGGCGCCGCCCTTGCGTCGTAGTGTTTCCGCGACACGGTCCCCGAACCGCCGCCTCTTACCAGGAGTACCGTCGCTGCGGGAGCCCTCATGGAGTGCGTAGTCTTCATCGTTACAATCTTCGAGAATCAGGGCGTAGTCGACCATCTTGCTCTGCCCGATGCCGCCGCCCTCGAAACGCGGCAGCAGCTCCGGGTCGCGGATCCGTGCCGTCGTGATGTCGCGATACCAGACGCCGGTCGTACGGCGATATGGATCCAATGCAAAGCGTAGCACGCGCGAGTGCACCTCGCTGTTCCAGGCCGCCTCGGGCAGACCCGCGTCCTGACACTCGGTCGCCGCGTCGATGATCTCATGTATTCGCGCCCAAGAGTCCGCTTCAACTGGGTCGCTAGCGTCGCCAAAATTCATTTCGTCTAGGTATCCTTCATCGATAAGCGCTGCAGCGCGTGGCAAGAGCTCATGCGGAATGACACAGCGGCCAGTATTCAGGCGGTTAAGATCGCGGCAGAGCGGCTTGACGCTGTCGGGGGCGGAGCAGCCCGTACGCGAGCCGGGTGCGCTAAGGGCGGCGATGTGTATCCGGCCATTAGCGAGCATTAGATCGCCCATGCGCCTTACGGGACTGCGCGGACGGCTGTCGGTGCTGGACCAGCTGATTGATGAGCGGGTAGGCGAAGGTGGAGGGAGTATGACGGAGTCGAGGACCGGGACGATGGCTTTGGGTGTCTGCTTATTTTCGTCGGAAAGCGGACGCAGCGGCGGCGTGATGGGCGCAGATGCGTGCTTGCGTGGAGAGCGACGGAGGCCTTCTCGCGGCGACATGGCGCCGAGGCAACGCCGTTTAGGTTGGCGTTGACGGTAGTGGTCGTCGCAATCGTAGCCCTCGGGATTTCGAGGATGCGAGTCCAACCAAGCGGAGATACGGTTCATTGTGAAGAGAGCGGGATGTATCGTTACGTCGCGTTGTTGGCGTTGTTGTTACTTCGCTCCCTGCGTGAGGTTGTGCGACGTTAGGGTTGAGATGGCAACCGGGCCGGGTTGTTGATCAGCATTAACCGAAGAATTATAAAAGCACCTCTCTTTTATTTAGTCTGCCCAGGACTATACTCGAAACGAATTGTATCCAAGTTTATAGCGTCCCGATAATTTCTACTGCGATGAACCTGCTTCTAGTCGAACTGTAGAATGTTGACACTCTTCCCACCCTGTCTAATCTTCTAACCTGATCTTTCCCTTGGTTTCGTAGCCGCGAAAAGCCAGCAAGAATAAGACTGAAGATATGACTAATGCTCCTACTAGTATAGAGTACATCAGAACAAGACTGGAATCGATGGCAAGCGGCGATATAATTATACCTAAGACTCCCACAGCGGACGTCACTTGCATCATTGACTGAACAAGAACTTTTATGTTAATTAGGGCTCCCGAGTACTAGTTCTCTGTTACGAACGCAAAGCCCGAGATCTTACCAAATCCAAGTATGAAGTGAACGAGCGCCTAGACCTACACGTTCACATTGTTCGAGATGGTGCCTCCGGCTAAGTCCAGGCACGCAAGTAGCGCCTCGTAGCATAGGCTGGAGGAGTAGATGAATTTTTGGACTTCTACCGCGTACGCCATACCTAAGCTGATGAGCAAAAAAGCTGTAAATATTTATATAATCAACCTAAAAGGTATGCGAAGCTTGTACAGGAGCGGATAAATCCCTTTCACGATAAGTGGTACGACAACGATGCCATTGAATGCCTAAACGGCATCATTTGGTAGCCCGTATAGGCGCGTCTGGCCGGGCTGTGAGATCAGGTTAGTGTTGATATGTTGAAGCAGAGATAGAAGATAACGAAACAAAAACTACAAAGCTGTTTATGGGAAGATAAGATTGTCAGTAAAGGGTGTGAAATAAATCAGCCGATAAGCACCGAGAGCACGCTTGGCCTCGATATTAGTATGTCTATCCCACGATACATCGCGTCCAAAATGTTCCATCTGGTGCGTTAGTGTTGGAAGCAATGATATCGATATTGATTCCATGATGCATCGATTTATCCATGATGCCATGAGCCAACTCGGTGCTGCACATCAATGATGCAGACATTCAGACAACAGGGTACCCAGGGCTATAAGTAGCCAGCAGATAGCCACTCACTTAGAAATCAAACTCAGACATTTATTCTCTCGCTTTATCTCACAACATATACTCTCAATAGATAATGTACGCGAAAAGTATAGATTATCTACAAACCTGCTTCCAATACCGCTATCCTTTCTCTCCCGCAGGCTTTACCTTATTCAAGCCGCGCCGCACGCCGCTGCTTGGCGTTGGAGGTGACGACGGTGTATATCCTTAACGGGCGAGGGAATGTTGCTCAGCACCATGTTGATCGATTGCTGGAGTTCTGTCTTGAGCAACCAGTTTTTACACGTGCTACTGTAACCTCTATGTCCACGCATGACCACCTCGATGCCAAGAAGCTTCGTAGAGAGCTCCGTAATGCTCCTGTCCTTCTTGTCTACCCAACTCTTCTCCAAGCTCAGCCCAGCCTGGTGTAGCGAAAGTGTGAGGGATCCGAATGCTAAGATATCACATTGTCGCTTGTCGTCTTGATTCTCTTGCATACTAGAACAGTCACAGCGAGTCCCATAGATATTTTGAGACCGAACTGCGGCAAATTCCTTGATGAAACGTTGGAAAATATCAAACAAGCTTTGGATAACTTGTTGTCGGACACCAAGGATGCTTTCTAGCGACTAGGTAAGCCACAAAGCTCATCAGCCTACAACCGATGAACTTACCAATAATGTCTGGAGGTAGTTGGCAGCTCTCTCCTGACGGATCTAGGATTCTTCCTTTCTGTGTAACGCATCTGCCGTTCGCAGTCACCCTCACTTCCTTAACTAAGTGTACCGCTAACTCTTGGAAAGACGCTAGCCGGCCAAACTCCTAGGCGATCCATAGCCACTCTTCGTACGCGGGCTCCAGCAGTAGATGCTGCACATCGGCAATCCAGGTCTTGATCCACGGCCGTACGAGTTTGGTGGCGCCATACTTATCCGTCAAAATTGAGAGGTCGAGAAGGCTCCGGAAATTCATATTTTGGGGGACCTTATCGAAATTCAAGTGCGCTATATGTAGCAGTATAGCCAAAGGTGCCGCGTTATCGTCCGGAAAAGATAGTTCGCCCTGACCGATCTTGCCCTTCTCTGCGAAAGGGCTATCTGGCGCTAGCATCTTGTTCCAGGGGTCGCAGGCGAGCCTCAAAGCATTGGATGAGACGATGAAGGACTTTTGTGTCTTTACCCCAGGTGTTGTAATTAGGGGGGCGGTTAGACGAATATCACCCTCAGGGTCGCAGTTCTCTAACAGCGGTAACTGAGCGATAGACGGAGTCGCTTGAAGTCCTTCAAATTGATTGTAGTCGAGAGGAGTTGGCGTATTGTGCGAAGCCATTTTAGTTCATTTGTTCGTCTTACGTGTAGATGTTTGTCGTTAATCAGTACGTCAAGTTGCAATTGCGCAGCTATATCGATCGGAACACTTAACACCCGATTGCTGAGCAGTATCCGAACGACCAATATACAGAGTAGTGGACTGAGAAAGAGAGGTAAGTAATAGATCGAAACGTAGTTGACTTTGGGAGAATGTATTAGTCGGAAAATACAACTATCATCGCCGACTAAATAAAGCCCGACCTTGGGTTGTCTAGGCAACGTACGGTGCGGTGTCAAGGGTCGCTGCCAGGGTCCAACACCCACGCAAAATTCTCTCAACCCCGCTTTCACACCTCACACAATACAACCATGGACGTTTTTTTTGCAAATCAAACTATTGAAGAATCTACAAGAGGCTCCGATCTCTCTCATGACCAGCGACTTGGATCATTTCCCGCAGCGAAGCAGGCACTAGCCAATCTTAAATTTCGACTCACACATGTTTCGCGCCGCACCGTAGGAGCTACCATTCAATGCTTTCTTAATACACAACGCATTGATCTACAGCCCCGGCTAGAACCTAAAAAGAAAGCTAATATACGTATCCAGCAGATCATAGTACGTTATGATCTTCTTTCGCTCACTGTGCAGTGTGCTATTGTCTCGACCGTGGCCCCAGACCTCGATGAGAAGCATGGCTGGTTCTAAATTAGCATTTGATGCTGTAGCATTAACGTTAAGTGAAGTCTGCATGATAACTATGAGGTATTGCCAGATCGTCGTCTCCTGCACTTAACCTAGATCGGGACGGTCCCGAATTTCAATGGAGATCAACGTCTCTACGTCTGCATAGAATAATTCCTCCCGCAATCTGGCGCGAATTGGAATCGCCTACTTTTACGGAATGCTCCGTGTCGTATCGGGGCGGTTGCTGAAACCAGCGGAGTGGCGGAAATTAATCCATCATGCTTAATGGAAAGTCTCGCAAGTAGACCAATATCAAAGATAGCAATGAGATATGACAGAAAACAAGACTTATATCAAAGGAAAATGGTGCGAATTCCGTGCGTTAGGTTGCGGCTCCGTAACGCGCGACCCCGCCGAAAACTACGCAAACGCGCACCCTGTCCCCAATCCCATCCAGCCAAGCTTTGGCAACTCGCCCACCCTAAACCTCCTCACTCTCGCTGCCGCTATTTCCACGCCAAACTGGCGCCCCGAGGAGCTCGAGCGACGGGGGAGATAGGTAAGAGAAGAAAAGTCAGCGGCGAGCGAGGGGCTGTAGCAATGAGGCACGATAGCAACGCCCGTGTCTTCCATGGATCGCGCGCGCATCACCTAGGTACATAACTGCATCCGCCGTTTGCACCGATTGCACGCACGTGTGCGCATCGTCGTTGCGGAGACAGGAGAGAGGGGCATACGCACGGACCTCGTACGGGTCAGCCAGCGTCAGGGCGTCAGGGTGTCAGGGCGCCGGTCGCATCCATCCACCTTCGATCGGCCGCCTGCACCACACACTCACACATAACTGCTTCCACACAGCGACGTTCCAGGGCCTGGAGTTTGGCTTCCCTGGTTGCAGATACCGCGCACCCCTGCTGACTACTGTACCGAATAGCCGCGTGCCTAAGCCGCTGACGTTGCTGGTTGCACCGCAGCTTACCTACCTGCGACCGGCCATCACACGCACGCCGCCAGTGCTGAGATTGGGGCTTAAGTCCATTGCCGCTCGTCCTGCAACGACGACTTGGCTCCTCATCGTCGGCAATCCCGCCGTCACCAATCTACGCGCGCACCACCTTCATCTCGTCCGGAATATCGCTAAAGTATGCTCCACGTTCCCACTCATCCGCGTCGACTGGACCGATCTGGACGTCGTTAACATAGCGACTCCGGTTTGGCTTATGCTGGAGTTAGAACTGAGAGGCTTAATCTGTTGGGGAGTTGAACTTTAAGCAGTAACTATGCTTGTTCGGTCAAAAAACCTATATGAGATGAGTGGTGGTAATACGAAGCGATTAGTGAAGCTAAATTTAATATGAACGCGTGCTTACTTGCGATTCGACGCCACGCAACAGCGACAGCCTTGCTCCTTTACGACCGGCCACTTAAATGTGCGCATTAGTGCCTGGGTGAGACGCGAAGCGCAAGGCCGAGGGAAAACAGCGGCGATGTAAGCACAACGAGGCTGAGCGGGGCAGGTAAAGCTGATAAAAGCCCTCCATCGCCTTCCGTGCTAGCCGTCATCCTTCTTTAGTTGAAAAGGCTCTAGACCAATTCTCGGACGTTCTCACTGAAACCAACTCAATATGACGTACCGCCTCAGCCGCGAAGACTATACGGTGGGCTGGGTCTGCGCTTTGCCCATCGAGCTCACCGCAGCTCAGGAGATGCTCGACGAAGAGCATAATGACCTCCATCAAGACAGCGGCGATACCAACATATACACTTTTAGACGCATCGGCGGGCACAATGTTGTCATCGCCTGCCTACCCGCAGGCCTGACCGGCACCAACTCTGCTGCAGCGGTTGCAATGCAGATGAGGTCTACCTTCCGCGCGATTCGATTTGGGCTCATGGTTGGGATTAGAGGCGGCGTCCCTAGCCCAGAAACAGATGTCCGACTTGGAGACGTTGTTATCAGCCAGCCTAGCAACGGACATGGTGGGGTTATTCAGTATGATTTCGGAAAATCGACGCCGAACGGTTTCGAGCGATCAGGATTCTTGAATACTCCTCCGCAAATCCTCCTTGCTGCCCTCGCAAAGCTACGAGCGAACCTCGACCGAGGCAGGAGCAATCTCCCGGTGCACATTTCAAAGCTCGGCAAGCTACCCAAATTCAGCCGTAACCAGGCTGGTGACGATATACTGTTTGACGGAGGCTACAACCATTCTGGAGGGAATAACTATATATTATGCGATGACACACGGAAGCTGCATCGGGAAGCAAGGGCAATCGATACACCTATCGGAATCCATTACGGCACGATCGCATCGGGAAACCAGGTGATGAGGAACGGCGCTACAAGAGATCAGATCAGCTCTGAGTTTGGAGGAGTGCTGTGCTTCGAGATGGAGGCGGCGGGCTTGATGAACAGTTTCCCGTGCTTAGTAGTCCGTGGGATCTGCGACTATGCCGACTCTCACAAGAACAAGAGATGGCAGCCGTACGCAGCTGGAACGGCGGCGGCATACGCTAAAGAGCTGCTGTTAGTGATGCCGGCGGTAGATGTGATGAAGACACGAACGGTCGCTGAAGCAACACAAGGTTAGTGTAGTTCGTAGACCTCTATATAGAAAAATCAGACTTACACATCCTAGGGATGCCTATTTTCTACCTCCCTTTCCCAAGAAATCGCCAGTTTGTCGGTCGAAGTGCAGAACTTGATGCGCTGAAGCAAAAGCTGCTTGTGGACAAAGACTGCCAGAAGGTGGCAATCAGCGGCCTTGGTGGCATCGGCAAGACACAAATTGCCCTACAATTCGCATACTTTGTTAAGGAAAGCTATCCAGAATTCTCCGTCTTCTGGGTCCAAGCGTTGAGTATAGAGACTTTTGAGCGCGGTTGCATAGAGATGGCAACAGCATTAGGAATACGTCAGGAAAGCAAAGATGACGTCAAGAAGCTAGTACAGCGGCGATTATGCGGAAAGGCCGCGGGCAAGTGGTTGCTTATCATCGATAACGCCGACGACCTAGACTTACTTCGTGGTTCTGAGCAAACGGAAGGTTTGCTAACCTTCCTACCAGAAAGTGAAAATGGCCTGACCATATTCACGACGCGCTATGGAGAGGTAGCACAGTATCTAGCCGGCAACGATGTGGTCGAGGTCGGAAAGATGATGAAACGGGAAGCGTTAGGCTTGTTTGAGAAGTCACTGCTCCGAAAGGACCCTCCTTACAACGAGGAGATCGTGATGGATCTTCTCACAGAGCTGGAATACCTCCCGTTGGCTATCACCCAGGCGGTAGCATATATCAACACATGCAAAACCCCTATCCCCAAATATCTGCTGCTTTTGAAAAACACAGAAAAGAATGCTATTGCTATTCTAAGCCGGAATTTTGACGACAGGACACGATACCCGAACTCGGCAAATGCAGTTGCGAAGACATGGACGATCACATTTAATAAGATTTCTGAATCTGATACGCTGGCGGCAGATCTCCTCGCCTTCATATCTTTCATCGAATGGAAAGCAATTCCGAACTCTATTTTACCAGCATCCGGCCGGGAAGCCCAGCAAGAAGAGGCCATTGGCATACTCTGCGCATACTCATTTCTAGAGAGACGAGGTGACGGTGAGAAATTTGATATGCACCGACTCGTTCACTTAGCGACGGGGATATGGGTTAGTCAGAACGGCCGGGCAGTAGCCAAGAGTATGGCGGCACTAAAACACCTCTCGGAAGTCTTTCCATTTGGCGAGTACCAAAATCGCGAAACCTGGCGGGATTATCTACCGCACGCGGCACGTATAGTCAAGAACGAAAATTGTCAGGGTATAAAGGAAAGGAGCGAGCTCTGCCTAAAGGTCGGGCGGTGTTTATACGTCGATGGGAGGATAAATGAAGCTGTTCTCTGGCTACAGAATTCCTGCGAATGGAGGGATAGAAATCTCGCAGAAGACCATCCCTCACGACTAGCATCGCAGCACAACCTCGCCGGGGCATACCAAGCGAACGGACAGGTCAAGGAGTGTCACGGCAGTGAGGCGGATTCAAATCAGATTGTGTAAGATTGACTACAAGACGTGGTACGAAGAGGAAAGGAAGAGAACGAGAGGCGGCGGCCATATATATGGCTCGCTAGCAGGCGCTAGGCGCTAAGCGAGAGACAACGAGCGAGACAAATACAAACAACAATTGACAAATAACAAATAAGACAAACCATCAGAAACATGAACAAACAACAATTAGCAAATAACAAACAAAGACAAACCGTCAGCTAGCGCTTGCTGGTCAGAACTGCAAGGAATGCGCTAGAAACCCGTGACATCTATACAGATGCTTCCAAGATAAACAACCAGCTAGGAGCAGCAGCAGTCATTCTAGACCAAGCCGGGAACGCCCGATACAGTACGCTTAAAGGAGTTAAATCTAGCAATTTCTACACAGTACAAGCAGCCGAACTAATTGCTATTCTAACGGGGATAGAGCTAGCAGCTAAAAAACACCTACAAGAGGGACCCCAAAGCCCAACCGAATACGTTATCTACAGCGACTCCAAAGCCGCCCTCCAAGCTCTAACTAGGAGATATAAAAAGAGATCAGGCTAAAGCATCGTACGGTCTATCCTCAGTACAGCCCAATCTCTCCATGAAGGTCTCCAAATAAGTTTCACGATCCAGTAGATCCCAAGCCACTACGGTATCCAAGGAAATAAGAAAGCAGACAAGCTAGCTAAACAAGCCACAACACGTCTTAGAGAACACAACTTCCTACCCTTAATACCGCTGCAAGTCAAAACAACTCTCGAAGCAGCACATAAGCAATAGAATAAAGAATAGAGAGCGTCAGAGAAAGGCCAACACCTCAGCAACGTAGATACAGCGATTCCTAGACCACACGTAAGGTACCTCTACGACAAGCTCCTACGTAGCCTGGCAGGGCTGCTAGCCCAGTTGAGAACTGGCCACTACTGGCTTAACCAGCACCGAAAACGATTAGGATGGATAAACAACGACAAATGCGAATGCGGAGATATAGAATTAATATCCTACGTATTACTAGACTGTTCGCTACTCTAGGAAAATCGGTAAAAAATGTATCAAGAAACTGGACTCCAGAGAAATTGCCTCTCTAGCCTTCTAGGCGGTAAACCAACAGACAAGAACCAGCCGCACATGGAAAAGAGGAAATAGACAATTTCAGCCGCTCAACTCAAAAGGGTACTTGAATTCGCTCAACAAACAAAAATATTCCAGAGTAGAGACGACCTCAGCCAGTAAAACCCGTCTTATTCCTATTCTTCTACCTTTCCTTTATTTTATCTCTGTTCCCCTTCTCCTTCTACTCTCTCAGATTGAAACACTAATATAAATTCCTAGCGTATTTCCTTTAAATAGTCTATAGCCTGCATATCGCTCAGGGCGATGGGTCAGGGTAAATGAATTCAACTCAACTCAACTCAACTCATAACCAATACCACCCCCAACATTAAAAACAATACAAAAGCTACAAACAAGCACAAGTCCTTCCTCTCTTGTTCTTCATTATCTGATTCCTCTTCGTCATCTTCATAATCGCTTTCCAATATCTTCTCCCTCAAAGCATCCATCTTCTGCCTAAGCCGCCTCTCCCCATCTATATACCTTTCGACGTCGTATAATATAGTCAAGCTTGTTCTCAGCTCTAGCTTCTCCTTCCACTCCGCTTCTTCAGCCCTATAGTCATCCCACGTCTGGGCCCAGAGCTCGAAATCCTGTCGACGTTGCTCGATGCGCGCGCGGCGTAGTTCGCGCTTCTTGCGCGCGTCACTACGGGCAATCTTTAGTTTCGCTTCCTCGGCGCTCTTTTCAGCCGCTTCGCACCGCTTCGCCATCTGCTCCACCGCTGGGCCTTGTCCGCCCTGCTCAGCCGTCGGAGTTGCCGCAGCACCTGCTTGCGCTTTTCCCAATAACTCCGCAAGCACGACCAGCGCGCCCCGCGCACTGTCCAGCTCTTTTCTCAGCACCTCTGCTTCCAGCCTCGCGGCCACGGCTTCCTGCATAGACGCACTCTCATCCTTCCGCTTTGCCGTTCTCGCTTCCGAGAGCGCTGCCTCCAGCTGCGCGATGCGTGCCGCCTGGCTAATAGACTCGGAAGACGGGAGCGCAGGCGCAGGGTCGTCCGCTGCCGGAGGAGCGGATCCTTCGTCTTGGGCTGCGGTCGCCGTATCTACGGCTGCGTCTGTGGACGTGCCCTCCGACGGCGTGAACCCTGGGCTAGTCTCCAACTCGGAATCCGAGTCGTTCAAATCCCAGGACATTGTCGAACTCTCATCCCCATCCGAATTGCAAACGGCTCCTTTTCTTACCGCACCACTATTTCCCTCGCTCTCGCCCTCGCTCTCGCTTTCATACGTCTTGGCCTCTTCTTCTATCGCCGCCTCGCGCGCCCTAGCTTCCCGAACCCGGCGTTCCCAACCCTTGTCTCTGAATTCTTCCTTACGAGGCTCGCTCGCATCCTTCTTATCGCTCTCACTATCATTTTCATTCCCGTTGGCGTGAGCGTCCGAGCGGGGGCGCACGTAAGGAATACCCGCGTAACCCACACGCTCGTCTCCATGGAGGCAGGCCATGCGTCCCGAACCCTCGCCTCTGTGTCCTCGCGGACGTAGGATCCCCTCGCTTAAGAGGCGTTGAATGAGGACGTAAGAGGAGAAATCGGAGCCGTCGTAGGCGTTTAATGCGGTCTGAATCTGAGTCTGAGTTTGGGTCCGAGTCTGCGCGCCGTTTTCTGTGCCGGTGCCAGGGCATTCGTTGTCTTGAGCATGGCTGCGCGGCTCATGGCGCTCTGCCATGGCGATCTGGTCGAGGGGCGTGTGTTGCGGTGCTGTGGTTTGCGTTAGCTGCTTTGTGAGGTGCGTGGGGTGGAGTGTGGGGTGGACTTTACCGCCGCCGCTGCTGCTGTAGTTGTAGGGTGTGCTTTCGGCTTTGCCCATTTTTGGGATTTGGGATGGGTGTGTAGTGTCTGGTTTTCTTGTGCCGAGTTGGTTTGTGGGGTGGTGGCTGGTGAATGTTTGATGGTTTGGGGTCCAGGGTATGTTGATGAGGAGTGGACGTGTTTGCGATTTAAAGTTGATGGGGGTAAAGGAGAGGTGTATAAAAGCAGCGGAGAGAAGTTAAAAGAGAAACCCGTCGAAAGTAAGCTGGTAAACCCACGTGTCTCTTTGTTCTCTAGTAGAACCATGGAATGCTCCGGTAGGTGCGGTGCCACATCGCATAAGATGACGTCGTCGATATATCCTCTGCATACCTTTCAAAAACTCCGCCGTATCCAGCCATTTCCCCGTGGGTAATCCCCCACGTTCATAAAATACTCGTCCGTCTTCACCTAGTGTCCGCGCCCACTCCTCCCTTACCTCTATATCCGGCCGCCACGTCTCCGGCAGCGCCATCCAGCTCATCTCACGCCTCCCTAGCCCTTCATACCACTCTCCGCGATAGTCCTCTTCGAGATGTCTATACAATGCGAACCTCTCAGTCGCAAATGTCACGCTAAAACACCTCTCACGGTCCTCCATTCCTTCCGCCCCTAGCAGATGAAGTAGCGCTTTATGGTGTATCGAGAACCGCTCCAGAGCCGGCATGTAGCGAACGGCCTTGGCAGCTGCGATGAGCAGACTGTTCATATGGCTAGTAGGCCGAAAACGGTAATCGCGTGTCGGATTCATGCTGCTTACGTATTCGTCGGTCCAGTCAACGGACTCGGCTTCGCTAGGTGGTCGTGGAGGTCCTGTTTCATATGGCGTAGGCTCTCCTATCCAGTCGATGCGGGAGAGTCTTCCCCTGACATAACGGTCATAAGCTTCTGGGAAAGGTGGTGGTGTCTCGCGTCCTGAGAGGCCAGTGAAATACCATATGCCGCCCGGAGCAGTTGGTTCCAAGTCGATGTCTACTCTTTTAAGCGAAGGCCAGTTTAGTTGAGGCATGTCGGTGGGGTCTCCATTGTTATAATTGTTGCCATTGTTACCACACGGGGGCCAGAAAAGGTCCGAAGAGATGTTAAGACCTTGGAGGGATAGATGCGTTAGGCGAGGAAGGTTTTGCGACAGCGTACGCAGGGCTTGACTGAGCGCGTCGACTTCATTATCAGTACTGCTGGGATTGTAGTTTAGGTGCGGTAGAGCTTCGTCTGTGTATCCAGCGAATAAACGTGTGATGTCGATAGATATAAGATCAGGACAACAGTTTGCCAGTGAGGGAAGAATTAATGCGAAGTCTACGCAGAGTTAAATAGTGGACATAAAATAACACTGAGGAATTTGTGCATACCTTGTCTAAGAGACCTCCGAACATCTTTTCCAAATGCTAGTGACTCGGAAAACTGGATCATGAGAGAACCCAGGTTTGGAAATTTAGACGCAAGGCGAATCCAGTCTCCTGGATGGGGCTGTCTCCCTGAACTGTTGTATACGTCGAGTTTACTAACGCATCCGATTCGAGGCAAAACATCGCTGTTCAGCAGAGTGAGGACATTATACTTCCACCGCCTGCTCCAGTACCAATCATCGGACGCTCTGCTACGCCAGTCTATCTGATCGGGGTCATAGAAGCGATCGTCGGGGTCCTGCTTCTGCAGTTCCCCGTCAGTTGGTGCATGGATACTTATTATGTAGAGTGCAACTGGCGGAGCATTAGTACCAGAACGTGAGCGATCCAAGAGAAGCAGAAGCTCGAACAAATGCTCGAATTCATGAGCAAGGGCAGCGTTATTGTTCTGCACGTCCTTGTCCGTTTTGCGATGGTGTAAGGAAACCTCGTCGCAAGAGGGGAGCATAATAATGGCATGTTATGCTTCTGATTAAAATTGCGCGATGGGCGAGTGACTGTAGGGAGAGACGTGCGCAGAAATCTGGCAAGACGTTGCTGTCGACGGAAAGCTTGTGGAAGGTGCGGCGTTCGATGCTGCATTGCCACCGCCGGGAAACGGTCGCCAGTAAAGGCAGGCGAGAGCTGTCATCTTCGGCATCGCAGACGAGAGAAATGATGTTGGTAAAGAGCTCTTCTAGAAGCTGTTCCATATTGGTTGTTGTAGTGTGGGAGGACGGCTGGAGAGCAAGAAGAAGAAATAGGAATGGGGGCGCGCGCGCATACGCACGTGATAATGGGGGCCGCCCCATCAAGCATCCAGGCAGCAACTACAACACCAACAACAAAGTCCCTCGAGTCGCCCCCATCACCATGACCTACGCGACTAGACAACTCCGCTGTGCCTCTTCCAACACGTTTGCTATGCCTCTTTGCTCACGAACTGCTTGGGAGCTCCACTATACGGTGTGTCTACAATACTGTGCACACCATAACTTTGACGCTGCAACAATTCTGCTGTGCCTCTCAGGCTCCAATAAGTTGGAAGTTCCACAATTCTGATATTCCTTTCGGCGCGCCATATTTGGGAGCTAAGGCGGATTTGCTGTGCCACTCATCTAACCATGACATAAATAAAAGCCCGTAAGGACCTGTTCTCTCCCATCAATCCAATCCTCGACATTCATTCATCACTACTACGCATCATTCGCTCGCTCAAAATGCTTCTCAATTCATCCTCACTCGTTGCCATCATGGCCTTTTTCGCTATCCATGGCCTGGCCTATCCGACGACTTCGCATAGCCCCAACGCTCTTTTTACTCGCACCGGAACCTGTGACAAGACGCCCACTTGCAAAGACACTAAACTTACGGCCGCCGACTTTGACCTGGATGATAGCACTGACCTTGTCAAACGCTGGGTTGACAACGAGTTTGCTCTTTTCAAGAGAGAGGGCACAAAGGAGATTGGTTGGTGCAAGCATGATAAAGACATTACAACACCAATTAAAATCCAAACCAAAAGCTACCCCGGGCCGAACGATGTCATTGAAGCTGGTAGCAAATAGGAAAACAAAAACATCCATACCCATAGATTTAGCCACCCGGACAGCTGCGATAACTTCGAGTTCAAGGAACAAAGGTTACCCACTAGTGTCAACGCCAACGATTACCAGGTGGAGCACCTCCTAGAGGGCCAAATAGTAAACAAATTCACAGCCAGTATCTCGAATGGCAAGAAAGACTGGGTGGATCCGAAAAGCAAGAAGAAGGTCAGCAGGTGTGTCTACCTCACACGATGGTTCTGGGAATTGCCCTCCAATCAGAAACTCAAGACCGTCAATGGAAAGACACTCAAGAAGGGAGACAAAAATGGAGAACAAGGCCTAAAGTGGCTTGTCTCGATCTACCCACAGCAGTACGAGCAAAACCCGGACGAATTTGCGCTGCTTGAGAATGATGTCAACAACAGCAAAAACTCAATTTGGGCTAGCAAAGACCCTATTAAGATGGTCGAAGTGAAGAGGAAAGCAACCTGGAAGGACTCCAACACCAAGAAGATCAAATCGGACGTCATGACAAACTTCAAGACGGTGCTCGTGAAGCTCAAAGTTGCTATAGGCGTGCGTGCCTATCATCGCGATACGTGGGTGTCAAGTACACTCAAACAGCAATCCGACCGCATGGCGATGATGCTGGACGACCTGGAGACGGAGCTGGCTAAAAAGCCGCAATTCAACGACGGCAATGACACGTGGGACAAGTACAAGAAGCAGGGCCTCAAGGATTTGTGGAATAAGCACATGAAAATCTCTTCTGATTCTGCCATCAAGAAGACGGATGCTGCCATCAAGGACACTTGGAAGTTATTGGAGAATGCGAGGAAGGATTTCAAAGAAATGCTCAAGGACTACAATGTCCCAAAGCATAAGACGCAGCTGCAGCCGCACGAGGAACAGGATCTAACTGATATCATTTGCCTAATTGATAACGCAGAGCATGGGTACACGGATGAGATGAAGAAACAGCCCATGATGAACCCCTTCTAGGTACGAAGTAGATAAGAAGGACCGAAGGGGTTGAAAGAGGTGGGGAGATGGAGTCCTCTTGGGTACAGCGGGTCATGCTTTTATACTTCTTCACTCTCATTCATTCATATTTATAAGGATACTCGTTATCGCCAGGAAGCTTGCTTGATACCTCCGCAACCATTTTATTTCCATATCAACTATTATAAATTGTACTTATAGCCACGTAACTGAGAGCTTTCATACCTACCTCCGGACACGGTCGCGAGCAAGGGCATTCGAGAGCTGCCATCGCAGACAAGCGACACGATGTAGGCAAAGAGTCCTTCTAGAAGCTGTTCCATGTTTTGTTGTCGTTATCTATTAATGTATGGCAGCGAATTTGGAGCGAAGGCAGAAGAAAAGGGAAGGAGAGCTGGTCGTCGTCTCCACTCCAGGCAACCACAGGCAGCAGCACCCACGACAACGCACATCAATGCATATCATCTTCACCACCACCACACCTTCAGCGTCCGCCCGCTTTGTGTCCATTCGCTCTCACGTCATGGTGCGAAAGGGCAGAGCCGGAGGACCGTCACGGTTACGCTCGGCTACTGGCGGCCATGACGCTCGTCTCTAACCCGGAGAGGCATCGAGTTTCGCCCCGCCGCACGACATCTCATTCCTCCATCATCAACAACGCGCAACTCACCATTTCATCACCAAATAAACAATTGAGAATTTGCTCTCTCGCACCGGCATCAGAAAGTGCAGTAAAGCCTGAGTAACAGTCTCCTTCTCCGGCTCTCTCGTCTTTGTCAACACCATGGGAAGCGCAGAACGTGGCCATAACCAAGGACTCGAGACTCTTACCGGCAAGAAACTCATCGGAGGCCGCGCACAGGGCACTGCCCTCGCCAGCACGACCGCCCTTAGCTTCTGGGGCGGAGTTGATCCAGCGACCGGCGAGGTCATCGACCGCCATCATCCGCTCAGCGGATCCTGCGTAACAGACAAAGTCCTAGCAATCCCAAGTGGCAGAGGATCATGCTCCGGAAGTGGTGTCATCTTAGAGCTTCTCCTTAACGGGCAAAGCCCTGCTGCATTGGTTTTTGAACATGAAGAGTCGATCCTTACGCTTGGTGTCATTATTGCACATGAGTTTTTCGGGAAATCCATTCCTGTTGTGCAGATGCCTTCACTGGACTTTGTCAAGCTCGCAGCAGCTTCGTATGCTCAGATCGAGAACGGCAAAATCAGATGCATGGAAATCCCCGACAATTGCGCGCCCGAATCGAACGACAACGCCGCAGAAGCCGATGTGCACATCCCGTCGGATTTTCAACTGTCGGATTTCGACCGTCACGTCCTGGACGGAGGCATTGGGAAAGCAGCGGAAGTTGCCGCACGCGTTGTGCTGAAAATGGCCATCATTCAAGGCGCGAACAGCCTGATTGACGTGAGCCAAGCCCACATTGACGGCTGTCTCTACACCGGCCCAGCAACCCTCTTGTTTGCTCAACAGCTCTGCAAATGGGGCGCTAGAGTGCGAATCCCCGCCACTCTCAACTCCATCTCCATCGACCGGGGGCGATGGGTGGTTCAAGGCATCAAGGCAAGTCTTGCCGAACCAGCCGGCCAGCTCGCGGACGCCTACGTCGAGATGGGCGCGCGACCCACGTACACATGTGCGCCGTACCTGCTCGACAGCGCTCCTGCCAGTGGTGCGCAAGTCGTGTGGGCTGAGTCCAATGCCGTCGTGTACGCAAACAGTGTCCTCGGTGCCCGCACAATGAAGTACCCGGACTACCTGGACATCTGCATCGCCTTGACCGGACGTGCACCGAATGCCGGCTGCCATATCAAATCAAACCGCCAGGCACGCATTGCAATTTCCGTCCCACCAGTTTCGAACGCCGATGACGCACTCTTCCCGCTTCTGGGCTACGTCGTCGGCGATATCGCTGCAAGCCGGATCCCGCTCGTGACAGGCCTGGAAGCAACACCAATCTCAAACGACAACCTTAAGGCCTTCGGCGCTGCATTCGCGACCACTTCTTCTGCACCAATGTTCCACGTCGCTGGCATAACGCCCGAAGCCAGTACAGCGGTGGACCAGGCACGCCATCTTTCCTCCAGCACTTCTACCGTAGCACTCGCGCACGATGACCTTGTGATGGCCTGGCGCAAGCTCGACAGCGGCGCAAGCACCACCGTCGACCTCGTTGCGCTCGGAAATCCGCACGCTTCCTACACCGAGCTCGCGCAACTCGCGGCGCTCTGTTCTAGCTGCACGAAAAGCCCCAACGTCGCGCTGGTCGTGACATGCGGGCGCGAGACGTACGAACGCGCCGCCAGCGACGGATTTATTGATACGCTGGCGGCGTTCGGGGCGCAGATCATCACGGACACGTGCTGGTGCATGATTTCGGAGCCGGTGATTTCACCGCAGGCGAAGACAATCATGACGAATTCGGGGAAGTATGCGCATTATGGTGCTGGGCTGACGGGGAGGAGTATGCGGTTTGGGAGCATGGAAGGATGCGTGAGGGCGGCGTGTGGGGAGGAGGTGGAGAAGGTAGTGCCGGAGTGGTTAGGTGGTGGTGGTGACGATGATGGGAGGTAATAATCCATGGTCAAAGTATTCAGAATCTCGCACCACACGGCACCAAACCCAGGCATATATGTCCAAAGAGCTATTTCCATCCACCAGCGCACTCAATCACAGCAACGCAGCATTACCTCCGCGGAGCAGACACGGCGTGACAGTAGTTCCATGCCCCACCACCTCACGCACCAATTCTCCCAGCACCCCCAAACAAGGCAAGACGATCGTGCGGCTCAAAAACCGGCCGTAAGCACTAGCCCCAACGCGTGCCGTTCCTTGCGGAAGGCGACGGTCCGACAGGCTGCAGCGCTCGTATCTGCGGGCCCCACAAGGATGCGATGCTGGCGTCGATCCTAGGCAGCTGCTCCATGGGGAGTCTGGACCTGCGTCGCGCGGTGTATGCACTTCGACGCGGTCGCGTGGTAAAGACTGAGAGGAACTGGGTATATATAAAGCGGGGGTTTGCTGCGTGTCTCGACACCGGACCTGCACCGCACACACACACACACATACACCTCCGCATCCACCGCACCAACAGTCAACACTCGACGCAAAAGCGCTTTCACCCAGCAACAAGCCCCACCATGCACGCCTTCGCCACGCTAAGCGCCCTCGCGCTCACCCTCCTCGCATCCCCAACCTCAGCGCAAGCGGGCCCCGAATCCCTCGAGCTCACAGGCATGCGCCTCCGCGTCCCGAGCACGCGGTCCTACCCCTGGCAGACCGTGGCCATCGGCGTGCAGGACAACGCGCAAGCGAACGGCGCGCCCAGCGTGGGCACGACGTGTGTGGCCACCTGGGACGTGGGGGGAGAGGGCTGGCCGCATGGCTATGTACGTGCTTAAACACCATCTTTTTATCTTCCTGTTCGTGCATGTTAGTATCTAACGTGCTGTAGGTGCCCTGCGGAAATACTACTGTCGGCTTCGCTATCCCCCGCTATAACAATCCTAATGATTTCGATATCGCGATCACGCATCGCTGGGACGTTACCGCGTATGCTTGCCCTCATTCTCCCCTTCCCCCACCTCCCCCCTTCTGCCACTATCTGTTCTTTCCCCGCACCGTAAAGAAACTATTTACTGATAGTAGCAGGAATGGAAATACGGCGTACTGGGAGCGCACGGCCACGCACACGGTTACCGGCGAGGGGGTGACGTGCTTTAAGACGCCGGCGAATGGGCTTAGTTTTTGTGATTATCCAGCTGTGGTTATTGAGGCGGGCAGGGTGGGGCAGACGGTCGAGTTTGTGCCTGTGGGGGAAGCGTAGGGTGGGCTGCGGTTGTAGGGGGCTGAGGATTGGGGGGTTTTAATGTCTATTTTCTCTCTGTCTCTAGTAATACATTCCATGATAAAGCAGCCGCACCTAACCCACTCTATCCTTTAAACCAACCCTTACATCCCCAGCCGCACTCCACCTAATCCCTTACCTTCCTCCCTAACCCCAGCCACAACCGTCCCTCACTCCCCAGCGACAAGGCCCTCCCCGCCGCCTCGCGCATCTACAACTCCTCCTCTGCCTAACTACCGTCCGGACCCGAGCGCGCATGTTCCTCGTGCAGATAGTCCTCCTCCACGCCGCTGGTGTTGTCGGTGCTGTCTTCGACACGGGGTGCAGACAAGCTAATGTAGAAGTCTTGGAATTCTGGTATGGACGAGAGGATGGTCTTGCGCGTGGAGAGGGGGGTATTCTTGCTGATGTGGTTGCTCAGGGTTGAAAGCGTGAAGATGGGAGCTTTCCTGCTCCTGTGGTGGTTTGGGGTCATGGGGGAGCGGGCGCGGCTCTGTGGGCGGTCGGGGGACTTGGAGTTTACAGCGTGGGTGCTGGGCATGGTGTGGCGGCCACGCTTGTGGGCTTCACTGGCGTCGTCTTCGCCGTGCTTGCGCTTCTTTGTGCTTGAGGTGGCGTTGTTTGTTGTTTCTTCGTTGGGCTCGGTAAGCGTCTTTGATGGTTCCTCATCGTGCTCGGTGGGCTCCTTTAGTGGTTCTTTACTGAGCCACATCTCAAAGGTCTTAAATAGCTTGTCCTTTGTGGTCGCACTGCTCAGGGAGTCAATCGTAGCGGTCAAGTGCAGTGGTTCCTCAGCCAGTGGCGTGGACAGTGGATCCTGCTCGTCCTCAGCAAGTGGCGTAGCCAACGCCTCTTCCGCGACTTCTTCCACGACCCGCTTCTGCTGCAAGTCTTCAAGGTAAATCGGCGCATGTACGAGCTTTCGGCCCTGCTCAACGACAACAAGCAAGTTGGTCCGAGCATTGATTTTGAGGAACCTCGACAGCAGCGGAAGGACGCTCCAAGCCAAGCGAGCGAAGAGGTACTCAGCAGACAAATTGCTAATATCCTGCAACTCGACATTGTGGTAGAGCTTGCGCGACTGCTGCGGCTCGGACAGATAGTGCACAACCCAAGGTGTCTTGCCGTCCTGCGTCAGCTTAGGCACGATAACGAAGCCGCGCTTCTCGAACTGCTGGTTGATGTCCGCGCGGAGGAAGATAGCGTTGCAGATGTCGTTAAGGCCGGCCATGGGGTCGTTCTTCGCGTAAATGCTCATGATGTTGTTTTCGAACCAGTCCATTTCGCTCGGGGGACAGAGGCTCGCGGACTCGGATTCGTCTTCGTGGAGGCTGATGAGGCAGGACGAACCACGAGCAATTCTGGCTCTAGACATTTCAGAGTGATCCGTGGAGGACTGGCGTGCCGGTTCGTGCGTCTTCATGGCTTGGGCCCAGCTGTCGGGGAGCGCTTTGTGCGGGAAACGCCAGTGGCTGAACGAGGGGACGACGGGATACTTGTACGGCTCTGTCTGGCCATCCGGTGGAGTAACTATGGTCGTTAGTAAAGAGAACTGTCTTTGGGACAAATAACTTACCGCAGAAGTAGTAGATGCGACGACGTAGAATTGCGCTACGAGGCTCTGTGATGGCCGGACCCACTGCAGTCTCCGCCAGATACCCGTCAAAGCGGTTGTTGGCCAAAATGCCGCAGATGATCAGTAGCGTGTCATGATGAATGCCTCCGCGTGAATCATCCGAGGCTTTGAGCGTAAGAAGCGTGTCGGAGGTCACGGGATAGGCCGGATGCTTAATGATGATGGACATTAGAGGGTCAACAGGGACCGTCTCAGCGCCTTCGGTATGGTTCGGAAACGTCTGGCGCGAGCGCACATTGACGTGACGGAGATGTTGAGCCGGCATGTTCGCGATGATGGACTCAAAGATTTGAGAGAAAGGGTTGATTGTGGATACTTGGCGCTGTCCTGGACTTTAGAAAGTTTCGGCTTTGTCGGGGCTTTCGTGCCCACGTCAGGAAGTGTGGGAAGAAAGGTTGGAGAGATGTTGTCCTTTGTTGTTGGTTGTTGGTTGTTGGTTGAAGAAGTAACTGGAGTTATGACTACGCCAGTCATTTCCCTTAGCGTTACCACATTCACACGAAGCCCTGTGTTAAGGCAAAAGCAAAAACATTTCTGGCGATATCGCATGTTAACCTATAGATGATTAAGCTTTGGTAGCGGAAATTCGCTTTCCCATAGTTTTAGAAGATTTTGAATAGTTCAGCCTGGAAAGTGTCACATGCTACAATCCTCCGGGTCGTTTGGCGGCGTCTACTGGCACTGAGTAAAATTTATATCTAGGGGCGGATTAAACTCTAGCATAATAATATAAGTCTGCATTTCTCAAGGTGATTATAGTAGGTAAGACCATCGATGTGATGGATCTGTAAATCACCAAGAGGAGCGCCTCTGATTGGCTGCCTTGCTATACCAGTCTTTTCGTTTTGCGATACCAGACGCAAATCTTACCAAATCCGGATAGCTAGCACGTGATAACCTTCCCTGTAACCCTACCTTCAACCCCCTGTCCGTCGTACTGCATGCGATTACAAATGAGCCGACGCTTCCCGAAGGACGATTAAATAAAGCCTCTTGACCCCCACTCTTGGGCAAAATCCCTAATTCCTTTTCGAACCGGGAGAACAACCCAAGAATCGTAACCTCCATTCCCATGCCCGAAGACTGTGAACCGGGCCCCAGCATCCGCGGGCCCAATGCAATCTGCAGCCGGCGATCTGAACCTCTTTCTGTGGCAAACTCATCTGGCTCGTCCGACTCAAACTCATCAGCTGTGCTGTATCTGATCACGGATCCCGTACCGACAGATGTCAACCATGTCAAATTTACAATCGAAAGCCATGACCAAGGTGGAATTAGTGAGAGCAGCGGCATCGGCCGAGATCCGCGCTCTTGGACATGGTTTGAAGCCTGCATCTTTCGTCCGAAAGACATTGTGTTGTCGGGGCCTTTACAGCTGGAAGACTCTATTGTAAGTGATCCCACAGAGTTCGCAGAGTTGATCCATGACCTGGGTTGGGAAATGATGGTCGATGAATCTTCCAATTTGCGACTGTGGCACCTACAACGCAACAAAGCTGAGTTCAGCGAATGGCAACGTCATGTCATCACCTGGAGCCGAGATACAAAGCCAGTTCCCGATACAAAACCAGATCCTGAAGAAAACGATGGAATTCAGAATGGAGAGGGCTTCGTAGAGATCTTACAGCCTGGCGACCGGATTGGTGTTTGGGCAAGGGCACAGGTAGGTCTTCCTTATTTAACCTTTTATTAAAAAATGTCGACACTAACAATATTTTTAAAGCACTCTGGGAGGTGTAATAACGTTCGATATGCAGAAGTGCAATGTGTCGAGGATACGGAAAGCTTTACGCGGTCTTCACAAGAAAAATCCTTACGCTCTGAGCTCCCAGGAGCGAACAATAGGGCACTGGAAAAAGGCCGATCTTCTTCTGATGCCGAGGACGACCCTTTACTGATCGTTACTCCCAGACAGGGAAGTAATGACATCGAAAATGATGAGAATCCCTTGTTACGACCGGATCTCTTGGCCAGATTTGTCTTTGAACTAGGTTCGGAACATAGTCCAATGCCGGAAGTAGAGAAATCGGAAGCTGTCACAGATCCAAACATTACCGCTCTGTTGATGGACGATATCAAGCCAGCTGAGCCACCGATTTACGAACATTATGGCTTGTCTCCCTTCCAGTACAAACCGCTGCCAGACGAAAACCACATCAGAGTTTTGAAGATCCTTCGAAATGAGGAGGGTTTGATTCATTGCACGATGAAAAACATCAGCATGCAAGACGAGCTTCATGCACGTCCGTATCACTGTCTGTCATACACGTGGGGCAATCCACATGCAGACGGTAATTTTTATCAGACGAATTTCGAAGCAAGAGCCAAAGGGTACCAGGCTAAAGAATGGCCAATTGTCTGTGACGGACAGCTCCTTCTCGTTCACAAGAACCTTTATGATGCTCTCAACCAAATGCCAAAAGATGCTTGGGCCAATCGTCTCAATCGCAAAGACAAGGACGGAAGGAGCCTCATACACTTTTGGGCCGAAACGGGAGGAGAGTTCGTACCTTCTAATGAAGTGGACAAAAGCCAGGCATTCCAAGCCTTGGCTCGACTTGGACAGGACGACATTGTAGGGTCTACATTGGCCGCCGGTGCTGATATTAATGTGCTGGACGCACAGGGCAAGTCAGTGTTGCATTATGCGGCAGCCAATGGCAAACTTGGAATTCTGCAGTCTTTGGTCAAGGCAGGCGTCGACATCAACCATGAGGATGATAACGGCCAAACAGCTCTGGAACTTGCTGCCGAAGGAGACCATATTGATGTGGTCAGCTATCTGATGGAGATTCTTGATATCAGAGACTCCGAACAGACTGCGGTCGAGCCGGTTTCCCTGCCTGAGCGGCCCGATGACTGGATCTGGATTGATGCAATCTGCATCAATCAGGAGGACAGCCAAGAAAAAGCAAGCCAAATCGCTATAATGGATGCTATCTACTCTGAAGCTGCTTTCATCAAAGTTTGGTTGGGAGAGTCAGATGCTTTCACTGAAACGGCGGTGACACTGGTCAACAAACTTGATGCCGCGAGTGGAAAATTTGAAAAGAGCGACATCATACCTTACGGTATGAATGAGAACCAGAACGAGACATTCCTCAAGGCAAATCTACCAGTTATAAGAGCGTCCGAGTGGCTCGCTCTCGGCGGGTTGTATAGACGACAGTGGTTCAGAAGGGCTTGGGTCTTCCAAGAGCTTGTTAGTGCCAACGATGTTGTCATGTTCTGTGGCGAACATGAGATTTCGTTCAGATCTTTTGTCGAAATCAGTCGCTCCTTGCTCGAAAGACAACAACAGCTCGGCATATATCGCTCAACCTGGTTGATTCCTCCGCATGAGCCTGCCTACCCTCTTGAGCTCAACTTTTGTGAAATGGCAACATACAACAGACTTCGGGCAGAGGCCATTTACTTAGACAGCAAGCACGCGAGAGAACGATTCTCAATGGCAAACTTACTGGAGAAAACGAGATGTCTTTCCTCTACTGTTGCGCACGACAAGATATACGCCCTTGCGGGACTCGCGGCACATCGAAACCCAAAATTCCGCTTCCGTGCGGATTACGAAACACCTGTGGCGAAGCTATATACAGTAGTTGCAAGGTCCGTAATACTCGAGACTCAGTCATTGGGTGTTCTGAATGATTGTATGCACTCCCTTTCTGGAACTCCCGCTCTCCCGTCCTGGGTTCCGGACTACTCCCTAACCATATCCATGTGTCTTCCGGCTATACACAAAGCATGCGGCGCCCTTGATCAGCCAAGCAACATACTTTTCCAAGAGGGTAGTATTCCACTAATCCAGCTGCCATGGCACGCTCTTCAATTCTTTCAAGTCCTGTCTCAAAACGTTCCGGAAGGCCCAATCCCGGCAAAATATCAACCTGAGCTCATAGGCAGTATCACACAGAACCTCAGCCCCCTGAATTGGGACACCTTGCGCCTCCAAGCTGCTGTGTTCGACAAAATCAAATATGAGCCCAGGCCGCGCTCGACAAAAGCCAACGCAATGTTTCGGCTGGACCCGCTCTGGTTCGACCTGGTAGAAAAGCTTGACATCAAGTACCACACAGGGGAGGGACGTTACGAAGCCCTCTGGAGGACACTGTGCACGAACTGCAAGGTGCCTAGTGGTGAGCCGCCAGACGAGTCTTATGGGAAGCAATTCCGCGATCTTATCTGCGCACTCGTATGCGGAGAGGCCCAGTACCGTGCACTAAGATACAAAAACGGTGACTTGAGGAGCTACGCCATGCTTGAAGCCCTCATCGCATCCTCAATGGGTAAACACCACGTGGTCCGCGCGCCAAGCACAGATGGGTCGGTCAACGGGCCGTACTTCCAAGAACTCAAGCCATTGATTGAGCACATTGAGCGGCTTGTGGCCACTGAGCCGGACGCAACGTCCTGTTTCCCCACTGCCGAAGGGATACGGAATTTCGGTTTGTACTCTCCATGGAAGGTCTTCACTGATGACGGCAAAGTGGATCCAAAAGCAAATCAACCTGGTTTTAACACGTCGTTTGCGCGAGTCTACCGTCGGCGCCGCATTTTTGTCACGGAAAAGAAATATATTGGGCTTGGTCCGTCGGATCTCGAGGTTGGAGATGTGGTCGCGCTTATCCCTGGTTGTAAAACGCCAATGCTTCTTCGGGAGGAACCGGTGGGTGAGGAGGAAAGCGAAGGCCAACAAAGCCATGAAGAACAAGGCAGGCATCCACCAAGATATCGTGCAGTGGGCGAGTGCTATGTCCATGGTATCATGCAGGGTGAAGCTGTGCGCGATGGGCAAGCAGACTTTAGGACAGTTGACTTGGTTTGAAAACTTTATATGAACACACACCCACTACCTTAGCAGAAATGTTTCGTAGGAGGGAAATATCCCTTCGTTATCTGACATACCATCGACGTAGGCTTTTCCGATCAAAAGAAAATGATGGAGTTGGTCCCGTAGGACAAAACCACTCTTCGACCCCCCAAATAATACAAGAATATCATTTTTCTCGGTTTGGCCTGGTACTAGACATAGGAAGCCGTCTCTAGTTAGAGCTATCTTTCTGTGCTGACAAACTGCAGATGCTGCCTGGTTAAATGCTTTGACTTTGTTTAGCTCTATTGGCGTATATCCCCGTCGCCATGTGATCCACTCGGTTTTATTGAGGCCATTATCAAATATCCATTCCAGGAAATCGAATTGTCGAAAGCCAGATTTATTTCCAACCAAAGTGTTGCAGAATGCACGTCCAGACTCTGAGTTGGGTTGAAGTCTCGAAGACCTTTCAGCCAAATCTTCCCAATTTTTGAGAACTTCGTTAGAAGGATTCTCTGCCGACACACCAGAGCATTCCAATGCTGGATACATTCCTGTCTGAGAAATAGAGCCCGCCCTCCTTCCACGGATGAGAAGTTCGGGGCCGTGAAGAGGTTGGCGAGGAAGAAGATATTTAGCTGCGGCCACCGGGCAATTATCCGCGAGGGAACAGAAATATTGCTGCTCTCTTGGTGCACTCCAATCTACTGCCCACGTTGACAAGTTCCGCAGGGGACCTCCGAGAGCCGCTCGCTCCAAAAATTTGAACAACAATGTCGGATCCCGGAAAATACACCATTTGGTAACATCCTGGAAGAATTGGGGCAGAGGTACATTGTAATCAATTTTGAACAACTCGTTATTTTGAACTTTGCTTTTGCAAAGGCCAAGAAGGGCGTAAATCCTGTCACTTGGCTCGGTTGCTCCGGTCCAAAAAGTCCTCCAAAGGAGCTCAGGCAGAGCACCAGGCATACGGCAATGCTCTACTAGCTGGATTCGTCCCCAATTACGACCGGCTCTCGTCTTGGATGCTATCATGCGATGAACCTTCGCAGGTGTCGATGGAATGACACTCCAGGAAACCGATTCCTTTTCGCACAGTATTGTGGCCCTTTTGGCTACCGCCACTTCTTGAAGGATCCAGATTCTAGAGAACCAAGGCCGTTGAAGAAACTTCCGAACAGCGACCCAAACTGGATCATCTCCTAGTGGGAGTGGCCTCGCTTTCGCTTTCTTAATCCAGTTCTCAGGTAAGTCGGAGCATTCCGACGCCATTGCCGCAACTGACAATCCTGTACTTGAAACAGCCGTAGTTGAGATATCGTCTCTATCGTCATTGGAGGATTGAAAGCCTGTAAATCGTAAAGACTTTCTGGATGATGGTAAAGTAGAGAGCTTCAGTCTCTTCAAGACTTTTCCGTTGGAGAAGCTTGATTTTCTTTTATTTGACTCAAAAGCTGCAAGGCCTTCAGGAAATTGATAGCCATGTTACTGTCGTCGGCCTCCTCTCCTAACCAGATTAGGACGACTTGCGCCCTCTCGAAAATGCCCCTGATTAGAGGGACCTGGTGGTTCTTCTCAACTTCACTAGCCTGATTGATGCAAATCGCGTCTATCCAAAGGAATCCCTCTTGTGTCTTACGGCGAAGCCTTTTCAGAGCGTTATACAACTGCGCTCTGACGCTGTATCCCTTGCCGTTACACCGCATCTGAAATTGGGGGAAGGTTGCACTCCAAGTGTAAGACAGCGCCTCATATTGTGGCGCAAGACTGAGGGAAAAGGAAGATAGATTGCATTCGACCATGTCATCGTGCTTATCGGACGGAAGTAGTTCGAGAAGCCGGATGTATTTCCCTTCTGGAAGAGGCTCGTGGACATATCCGCTTGTCATGAGGAAGTACCGTAAGTTTCTGGTGCTGTTAGGTGATTTCTGAATAAATCTAACATTCTAGACCAAGATTTCAGAGGCAAAGGAATTCAATAAGCCTTATATTATGCTCCGGTAACTCGGGTAATAACGAACGAATTTGCCTATATATCCTTGCAAAGTCGCACAAGAATATCTAGGGCCACCAATAAGATTTTTACACATCATTGACAACGTTCAGCCTTGTTGCCTACTAGTGCATAACATCATTTCAGTGGGACTTGCGCATGTAAGGCAAAGGTAATAATCTCTGCCTCAGGAGTCAGTCGTCGCACTAATGTCTGTCACCTTGAAGCGAGATTCACTATGAAGAGAGATAATGATACTTATACGGAGTAGAATAGTTCGCATACCCGGAGGCCTCGCCTCTATCATGCGTAGTTCCGCATTTTGGCAGCATGCACCAAACACAACGCAAGGCGAGAAAGTTTTGCTGACCTTTAATGCTTTCCTAGTCCAAAAAGGGTTTCAGGATCCTGCGAGCAAAGTCTGACGGTGTTAAGCCTTGCGGGTACGGCGAGCGAGTACGTTTGGCGAAAACGGCGCAAGACGGCCCAAACCCCCGAGCTTGCCGCGTCTTGCTAGCTTCGCTCACATGGGCACACTGAGCATTTATGCGCGAAATCAAGTCCCAGTTTTGGAAAACTATCTCGACATAGCTACTGGGGCTAGATAGAAAGCTGGTTGCTCAGTGTAAAGTATAGTAATGCACTAAATGATAAAGTTTATAATAATAGAAAGCTTCCATGGCGCTTTCGAAAAAAAATCCCACATGATTGGAAGATGTCTTGTTCCTCTTGTAGAGCATTTGTCTTTACGACTGCTGCTAGTGTACTCTATGCATCTTTTTATTTCTTTTTGCCAAACGATTGCGCCATAACTCCTTTGCCAAGTACCTTCTAAAATGCTCAAAAACTACTCCAAACCAACTCCTTCCGTAGATCGCCAATACATGCTTGCAAGAGGCAGCAGGTCCCGTGCCCAACTGTCACTAATCCTTGAAGGCGACGCTAGCGCTGCTTGTTGCCAACTCAGTCGGCAAAGATGCAGTGAATTCGTCCAATATCTCTCAGGACAAAAGTTGCAAATATTGGAGAGAAGAATTTTGATGGGGATCTCTGCCTTCAAGAAGTACCCCATGCGCTACTTCGGAGGTTTCTTGAGCATTCCTTCGCGCATTATGCCGTTTAGTTTCTTCTGAGTTGATGCTGCTCATGAGAGTAGTCCTGGAAGCCGAATCCATGTGGGCGTGGGTTTTTCGGTTGGCGTTGAGTAACGAAGTACCGATATCATCAACGTTTTTCGTCTGTAGGGTGTTTTTCCTCAATGTACCCAAAATTGTCGATTTAGACGGTCTAGGAAACGCCTGTAATATTGTGAGGGTCCCCTTGCGACACGCTTCATAGCTATGTCAAGCCAGAGAGTCGATTACAGATTGCTCTTGGTCCTGCGGGTGACTTGGCGCAGTGGGAAAGCAGCTGCTTCGCTGCTTACAAGTGATCTCCCAATGCGGCCCGAAGGCATCTTTCGACCTCTTTCCTTTTAGGTGCCCATTTATCCAACCCCCCCCCCTCTGAAGATTTTTGGGGGGGAGTGTTTCCGAAGAGGGCCAAATTTCCACGTTTGGTCGTCATTAAGCACTGTGGAATGCGTTACAGAGAATCCCTTGTAGACTTGAAAGAAATCCAGGTCTGCCTTTGGGACGCGTGGATCGGCGATTGTCGTATCCAGCTCCCCGAGTCTCAAAAGTGTTATGAGGGCCTTTGGGGACATTTCCATAGAATTTTCATAATAAGAAGGCTTATTTCGGTGAACCTTGATCGGAGATGTTTGTCTTAGAGCCGGTAACTGATATAGAAACCATCGGTATGGTAAACTCCGCAAGAGAGTATAGCCTGATCGGAGTTCCATGGGATCCGCAACTGCGACGAAGGAAAAAGTCCCCTCGTCCAGTTTTGTCCCCTCGTCCAGTTTTTTCAGGACCAAAGCACGAGAAGCATTGGTTTGGCTCCATTGTTTACCAAACTCTACTACAATGCAATTGGAATCCAACAGACCATTGTTTGCAGATATACTGTGGTCAAGGTCAAAGAGATTTGTGACAGGATTCCAGATTCTAACAACGTGTTGAACCTTAAGAATATCGAATAGTATCAGATCCTCTGTTGAGGTTCGTTCTGACTGGTGACTTAGGTGGTTAAAAAGATTTTGGAAATCAACCCCCAAATATTTCCTGAACTCATTCATCTCGTGAAAGTCCGGACGATGCCGTGCTTCGACAGCGCTGTCGCTTCGGAGGACAGCGAAGTAGAGTTCCTCCATCGAAATTGAGTAATCAGGTTGTAGCCGGTAAGAATCACCAACCAATCCAAGGAAAGCAAAGACCTTGTCGCGCATGTCTGCACAAACTCCACCCCCCTTGAGCAATATCGGTAACTGGCTAAGTGTGTCAAATGGATGGCGAGCTGATGCAGTGAAAGGAAAATCCCAGTAATTGGACCAGACATTGGCCACCGCTTGAGCACTTGTGAAATTATCTCCACACCATTGGTATGCTGACTTGGTCCTCGGAGGCAACTTTAATGTGGACCGTATCTCATCATAGCTCCCGGCGAGATCGCTTACGAAGTGCTGTAATGCAATCCATGAGAAGTTGAACTTTCCGCAGAGAAGACGAACATTACTGTCGCCGAGAACAATTTCCTGGATGATCCACATTCGTTTCCAATAAGGTCGAGAGAGAAGATCTTCTGCCTGGCGGGAAATAGGTTTCGAGGTATCATATAGTTGGTCTATCTGAAAATCGGTTAGGTTGTAAGACCAATGCTTACAATAATCCTGTCTTATTATCCACTTTCCACTGATCTTAACGAGGCCAATGTCCTCGATAATGTTGTCTTTACCCTTTTCTGGCTCTGAGAAACATTCCAAAGTGTTTAAATGTGTAGTTTCAATCTCTTCAAGAAATTCGGATAGCTCGTTATAGTCCTCCTTGGAAGGCCCCAACCAAGCAAACACCGCTACAGCATTCCGGAAGATGTCTGCCATCTGTCGGACCTGATGATTCTTCTCAGAAATATTTTCCTGGTCAATGCAGATAGCATCAATCCAAATACTCCGGCGGGCTTCCGAGTGCGAGGTGATGGCTTCTTGGAGGAACAGCAAAAGGTTTTCTCGGACTCGAAAGGGCTTCTCGTTCAAAAGGATCGATCCAGAAGGTTCTTCGGGGCCCCACGCGTATGAAAGAGCTCGGTACGAACAGTTCGTGTCATCTCGGTTGTATGTGCGGATGGTGCATTGGACAAAGCCATCATCGGAAATACCATCGATGTTCAGGAGGCGGATGGATCTTGTGCTCAGGTCGAGCGGCTCGTGGCAGAATTGGTCAGACATCGTAAGGTCTGTAAGAAAGATTTGACAAGAGGGCAGTTTGTGTCGTGTCGATGCCAGCACATCGAGCAAGACCTGCCTGCTGCCTGCTCGCTTCGCTTGCCCTTCTTGCGGCATATCCACGGAAGAGTGAGCCGGGATTGAAATTACCTAAGCGGCGCTGCCCCGCCACCCCGCATCTACGCCTCCATGCCGCCTCTCTTTCACCCATCAACTCATCCCGGGCCTCCACTTGCTACAGCAATGCAAACTCGACTGCAGATCTCGTTTCATCGCCTCTACTTACCCACTGATAGGCCTTACACTTGAAGCGTGGGTGTTATGGCTCATGCAGCCCCGAGACGGCGAAGCGATCGCACATCCCGTCAGGCATTGATGGAGTCGAGCTCCTCAGGCATCGCAGTGGCGGAGAGCACTATCCAATGATGATCTCTCTGAAGGCTTTATTCAGCTCTCTGAGGGCCAGTTGGGTAAGTCTTGTTTCCTGGTCACCGCAAGTGCCAACCTTTGGAAAGTATTAAGTCGCTGACGCCTATCCAGACTTAAGCTGTACAACCTTGTTCCCTTTCGAACCCCTAAGCGGTCACTATGTGTTCCCGATGATACTGTTTCGTCAAGCCTTTCGGCCAGCCGGCCCGGCACCCGTTTCCCGAATCCCGATCGCACACCCCTTCGTCCGCACCGGCAGTGTCTGACACGAAACCACAACGTTGCGACTTGAATGCTGCTAGACGGCAGAGATACACATTCGGTCCTCACGGTGGTTGTTCAGACTGGGAGATGATAAAGAAGAGCGAGGGTTGCTGTAAGCTGCGGAGATAATGTCAATGGATATACGTACGTGCTTGAATGGTCAGGCCAATGGAAATACCAACGATGCAACTCGTTGTGCCGAAGGAAAGGAATGACCAAGAGTAGTGCTGAGCTTGTCCTTGTCATCTCTTTGAGCCGGCAAAGCGATGAGCTCGGAGTCAGCAGGAAGGTTTTATTTGCCTCTGACGGCGATTCTTCATTGTCAACCGGCTGGACTGGACGCAAATTCTCATTGATTTCCAAGAAGAAGGAAGTGATGAGCTCCATGTCTCTCGTCCTTTCCTGGAAATTCGTCAAAGGAACCAATAAAAACTTGATAAGTGAGTTGACTGTATGGATAACAATGACATGGAGCAGCAAACATCGCGTGAAGTGCGACCGCAAAAGCTGTGTTAACTCTCGCGAAAAGGACTCAAACGGGGCTTATCCGCGGATGAGGAGAAATTTCCTTGCCATTGTATCACAGTGTTTGGGATTGGTTGTGGTCGAAAGAAAACTTTGCGAAGAAGAGACCACCGGTGCTACCAGATGAAGTCCGCAAAACCACACGCGCCACCACCGCCACACCCGCAACCAGCAAGAAGCGAAAAGGACGGCTGGCGATCGAATTGCCTCACAAGGAAACGCTGACCGGGAGTTGCCCCTAGCGTTGCCCTTTGCGTTAGCTTCTCCGAGCTGGAGCGGTCGCTGCTCGGGTTTCACGAAAGCATCACAAGACAAACAGTCATCAACCAATAATCAACCGGCTTCCTTCGGTTTCTTTGCAAACTCAAACATTTCTCTTTTCAGTTTGACCAAATCGCACTCGTAGAATTCTATTTCTTAGAGTCAAGCGTCTTTTTACATTCCATCAGTTTCCACGTTTATTCCCTGAATTTGTTACTTTTAACCAGACTCACGTTGAACAAAGTCGAAGTCCATGGTTCTATCTTCTTCTACGTTAGCGCACTTCTCCAACCGTTTTGAATACCCACCACAACCGCAGATGTCCTCATGATCTACGTCACCGCAATTATACGCGAACTAACCTTGGGCGTATTCAGAGATGACGAGAACAACCTATGGAGCGTTGATTACCATGGCTGAGAACTGTGAACTATGGTAGGTGGTTGCGGCCCGGAAATCGATCTGTGATTACTAGAGAACTGATGAAATCTCATAGGAAGGGACAAGTACTCTTTTTGCTGACTCGCCTGTGTTAAAGAAATGACCACTCTATCGTCGAAATGACTCGCGCTATTAGCTCTGCCTTATCCTTCGTCTGCTGCGCGTCAGAAACCTAAACCACTTCCTCTTTCACCGTCATCCTCTAATACGCCCAAACTCGGTACCCGTTCGGTAAAAAGTTGTCCAGAAAAGTTGAAGTGCCTAGCTTGAGCTCATCGTTCACCTGCACTGAAAAACCCGTACAGCACTCCAACATGTCCTCGGCTTCTTCTACCATGTCGGGAGTTCGGCTGTGCAATCCGCCTCCGACCGATCCCTATAAACCTCTCTCAACCAGCCCAGCCTGGATCGACGATCTTTGGGCTTCCGTTGCCGCCGCAAACAAGCAGCCTGAGTCGAACACAACACCTCCGTCTGAGGAAATCGAGAGGGAATGGGCGCCTGCAAGCGACTATGGGGACGACAGCGAGACGTCGACGAACGAAGAGCTGTTTGCAATATACAGAGAAACGCCTACAGTCACCATCTCACCTAGCAACGAGAGGTTCCATGAGCTCGTGCTTCTTCCGCGCGGCATCACCGTTGACCATGACTTCATCATGGACGCACACGTCCTTTTCAAAAACCAAGACAGCAACGACATTGCCGGACTGCAACACATCAAGCTCTGGCTGTCCCCGGACAAGCAAGAGATGGAGGAAATCCGGCGCGAGTACGAGATCATGAAAGAGCACAACGTCTGCCCCGAAGAATTCTTCACCTTCACCCAAGAAACGCTACTGAAAGGGCAGCGACGCCACCGCGGCCCGGGCAAAGAAACCCTCCCCTACATCGAGCGTCTCGTCCAACAGCCAACCAGCACGCCCAACAAGTCCACGCAGTGGCACGCGCCGCCCCTTCTCTCCGGCACCAACACCAAGACCGGCATCGACACGTGGGCGCCCAACATCCGCGCCGCGACCAGCTACTGGCTCTCGGCCGACGGCTTCGCAGACAGGTCTTCGTACCTCTACCGGAGCTCCATCCACATGGCACACAACGCGCTGTGCCCATACCTCAGCGCCGTCTTCGCGCGCGAGATCAAGAGCATCGACAAGCGAACTGCCTCCGTCAACGAGGCCCTCGTCGTTGGCTCCATGGCGCTGTACAACCGGTACCGGCTGCGGTGCCGGGCCCGCGCCGCGGCGGAGCACCTGCAGCAGCCGCTGCCGCCGCCGCCATCATCAGCCTCACTCAACCATTTCGTGCTCACGTTCGTGGGCGCGCAGTACAGCGTGTGGGTGGTGCAGCCGAAGCTGGAAGAGCAGAAGTGGCGCGGGTGCACGATGACGGAGGTGGCGGTTGGGGATCTTGCGTGTGGTGTGGGGGATGTGGAACGTTTGGTTGGGTGGGTGAATGCGTTGCATTTGTGGGGGACCATGGTGCATAGGCGGGAGTGTGGCCAGGAGTTGTCGGCGCTTTTGAGTGTGTCGGGGCGGGTTAAGGGCGTGCCGTGTAGTTTGGATTTGGGGAAGTTTGTGTAGGGGTGGATGTGATGGTGTGGGGGGTTGTATGTACTTCTTGAAGAGCGTGTGCGAGAGTGATGGTGTATAAGATGGGAATGTAGACGTAGACGTAGAATATGATGAGAATCTACAGGAGATTATATGATCCCACCTACGCCCTCCCGGAAAGATGTTGATACTCTTGTAGAGAGTATTTGCTAGAAGGAAAAAGGACGTTTATTCGAAAGTCTCTTTACCTAAATCCGACTTATCTAACACGCTCTATCCCCTAGACGAAGATTATACGTTGTGGGATACTCGACATTCCAAACTAAAACCCAACCCCACCCTCACGAGCACAGCGCAAGCGGATCCTCCGACTCCTCCTCCCACTTCTCCTTCCTTTCCCTTCTAGTCTCCCCACGCGCAGGCCTCGAGCGCGTGCGCGTCTCAACAACACCTTGCGCCTCAACGTCCTCCCTTACCGCCGCGGCATACGTCGTCAGCCCCCACCGATGGATCTCATTAACCCAGTCAACAAGGGCCTCGACCGAGCTCTCAAGCTTCAAATCGCCCATGTCGAGCCACTTGACCAGCACGCCGCGCCACTCGCCACCGCGCGCAACCCTCGCTTCCGCAACAAAGACATTGTACCTATGCGCCACGAGCGTGATGGCGTAATGGCGGGTCAGGCGGACGTCGGTCTCCGACCAGCAGGGCTCGGCCGCGCGGCAGCGCTTCGCAAACGCGCGCAGTTCGAAGCGATTGTACACGCACAGCGCCGCGAGGCACGCGACGTGCTTGCGCGCCAGGGCGGCTTCCTCCGCCGCTGCGTACCGGTACGTCACGCTGAGGTAGGGGGCCAGCAGTCTGTTGTCGCGGACGTGGGTGCTCCGCTCTGCCATCTCGGCCCAGGGGGCAGGAAACGTCTGCATGTTGAGCCAGTAGACGCTGTCGGGGACGAGGTCGAAGGCGAAGGGCAAGCTATTGCTCTCGAGAGTTTGAGTTTCGGCGTCGAGCACGGGCAGCGAGCGCCAGTCGGACTCGGCGGCGCCCGCGGCGTAGAAGTCCGGCTGGTGGGGTTCCTCGTCGACGCGCTCGCAGAGAAACATGCGCCGCGCCGCACGATTGCGCTGCAAGAGCTCGTCAGAAAAGAAGTGGCGCAGCGCGAGGTTGGCGTAGCGGCGCGCGCTCAGGCGCCACGGCTGCGCGGCCTCGTACGCCTGCGCGAGCTTGTGCGCGGTTGCTGCTCCGCCGTTCGCCCAGATGCGGCTGTGCTGGAGCGCGGGCCGCTGGCCGTAGTACCGTCTTTTATGCTCTTGGGGCGCCCGCTGCACCCGGAATTGCTGCGCTGCTGTCGTGCGCTTGGCGCGGAATTTGTAGGGGATTATTTGGACGCCGCGCGGGTGTAGCACTGTCGTTTCGAAGTCGGGGGAGGAGAGGCGCGCTTCTGCTTGTGAGGAACGGGAGGTTGTTCGCCGTCTTTTGCGTGCTGGCGTTTCGCTGCCTGAGGGGCTGGCGCCGTCGTCGTCGTCATCATTGTCGTCGTCGTCGTCGTCGTCTGTTTTAGAGACGGTGCGGCGGATGCTGCGCCAGAGGGTGCTGGTTTTTTGGGGGTTGGTGTCGGGGATGGGCGAAGGGTTTGACTCTGTTTTTGGTGGTTTGGAGGGCATGATGAGGGTTTGAGGATCGTGATTCAGCTGGGTTAAGGTGAGATTGAGGGTGTAGTCTTTTTTGAGGCATGCGGGTTTGGGATCTTCCTGGTAAGATTGGACTTGTTGCGTATCCATGGTTCTGTTGATGTGGCCGCTACCAGGCAAATCTCGCAAAGCTGTACCCTTAAGACTGGCTTCCTACCTACCCGTAGATGAACTAACTGACAATTCAGAACGCTCAGAGCACGAATACGTGATTAGTGTCTTTAGAGGTACAGGAAAGGTTTCATAGCGTTTAGTGATTCGTGCAACCGACTTTATGTCAAATGTTTGACTGTACGGTGAGTAGATAGACTCTTTCCCCTATAAAATATACTCCTATGATTAAATGGAGTCTTGGTAAGCCTTATCGTTGTATTCCGTATCATTCCGTAGCTCTGCGAGGGATGTATAGGTATGTATACAAAGCAAATCAAGTTGAGGAAGGCATTAAAAGAGACACAACTTACGCAGAGAAGTTTCATGACGCATGCTTTAAACTCCACTGCAGTCGATGTGGTTATTTTTGATGTAAATCGTGCAATATGTTTGATATAATTCATCAGTGACTTCGTCGCGAAACCTCAACAACACTAAACCAAAAGCACTGCAGCAAGTTACTCCTCTGCTCACGTACATACCAGTTGTACGCAAACAAACCCATTGTTTAGAAAAGAAACAAAGCGCGTTTCGCCACGGATGCACTGACGGCTGCCTTTGTTCCCACGGATGGCCTTCACACGCTCGACGCTACACTCAAAACAATGCCTCCTCCACGCACAATATAAACATTTAAATCTCAAGGGCAACCCTTGTCCACAAACAAACCTCGAGACGTTAAACAACACCACTTACTACTGAACCATGGCGTACTATCCGCCCTCGGAATACTCAAACGACTCCACCGATTCCGTCGGCACATTCGACACAATCCGGACGCGAGACCTCCTCCAATCAACCAGCACACTCAACCTCAGCGCATTCAGCAGAGACGACCTCCTCGCAAACACACCCAACACAAACCGCAACCCCCTATCCACTCAGGACCAAACCCGTACCACGCAATCCCAGATCCGCGCCGCCTACGACCGCGTCCGCACCAGCATCACCTCCACCAACACCCGCCTCTCCCAGCCCATCACCTCGGCCCCGCAAACCCCAACAGCAGGCCCTCACGCTGACATGGACGTCTCGCCCGAGCAGTTCCGCGCAGACGTGGCGCACACGACGCAGCTGATCAAGGCCGTAGTCGACGCCTCGGAAGAGGGCCGCGCTTCCGCGCTCCAGACCAGCCGGGCCGCGTCGCCGGGGCAGGTGATTGCGCTGCTGGAGCAGGTGGGCAGGCTCATTGCGCTGCAGCCTGTGGACGAACGTGAATCTGTTAACGGCTCTGAGGCCGCGGTCGAGGTGCCGGAGAGCGCTTCCGCGGAGGAGGGTGCAGCAGCGGACACCAACGCTGATACATCCCCGTCTTCCAAGCTCATGAAAGCAGGCAGGAGAGTCCTGGCGTCCGTTTCCCTCGTCACGGACGAAGGACACGTCCTAGCGCGTGCGCCTGTGCGCACGTACGTCGTGCAGCCCCCCCTCCAGACTAGCAGCGTTACGCTCGCTTCTACTACTAACAGTGACGTCTCTTCGTCCTCCACCGCGGCTCACGAGCCTGTTGCTCAAGCCGCTCGCGCCCGGCCGCCCCGCCATCTGCTGCATCCGGGCCGTGTGCTCCACCCGTTGAAGCTGAATCCGCTGACGCCGAGCGTGGCTGCGGCGGAGGGTAGGTCTTCTCCGCTGCTGTCGCCGGCTGGAGATGAGCCTCGCACTCCGACGCAGGAGTGGTGGCAGAGTAATGGGGTGGCGGGGTATACGGGCTTGGAGAGGCTGGGCGGGAGGCGTGTGTAGATGATGCTTTTAGAGGAAATGGTGGTGGTGCTGCCTGGAGGTTTGGGATGAGATTTGGGTTTTGTTGGTGAGTGAAGTGAGGAGATTACGAGAACGATGAGGGAGGTTTCAAGTTTCCTTTGTTAGAGTTGCCACTATCTTGTCCGCTGTCAGCCAGGATCACTCCGATAACTCTCGTTTATCAGCCTCATTATTTAGTTGTTACACAACAGCCTTACCCCTGCACTACTCATTTACCACTACTAAAGAGAAAACGTGTTCTTTTAGATAGCAGCATATATACCTCCATAGGTAACAGTAATCTAGAAGGACAAGCGGCGTCCAATTCCTCGCGCCCAGCTTCACAGGATGGTATCAAGCTGATAGCTAACCCGGAAGCGGACCCTACTCCTGACAAGTACGACGACCTACTTAAAAATAAGTACACGATCGAAAAGGAAGGTTCAAACGAAGACGCTATTTCCGCCGTGGTTGAACTCTTTGGGACGGAAAAGTTTTCTGAGAAGGCCAACCTCTGGCAGCAGGTCGAAGCAAATGGCGAAATATCTCTTGGCTTGGCTACCGCTGAAATGAGCTTCGGAAGAAGCCTCGACGACAAGGAGTTGATGATGATTGCGCACAACCGCATGGCGTACTGCGATAGCAACAGATACAAGGCCGATGAGCACACGGGCGATTTAAAGCCGATCCCAAACGCTAAATATGTACCTGTCTGGGAGCTTTCATTCAGAGCAGCCGAGGTATGTACCATCCTTCTGCCCTCTATTTGGCCCCAACACTTTTGCATGCATTTTTAGCTTACACACATGCAATAGATATCCGGGAAGCTGAAGTCCTCCACTGAGACAAAGAACATCTGGTTGGTTTCGAACAATGTCGTCAACAAATTGGCTAAAAAGGTCATGGACGAAGGCCACAAAGTTGCTGAGGCCGTCATGGAAATTAGCTATAAAGATGGCAAAACCAAGTATGGCAAAACCAACAAAGATGGCAAAGTCATTATTGCTGGTAAGGATGTCACCGACGATATCAAAAAGGATAAAGATGTCAAAGAGGTTACAACTTCACACACCTGGAAGAGTGGCGCGACTGGAACCGAAGGCACAATCTTCGAGAAGCTCGCCGGTACCGACAACAACTATTCGTACTTGGCCATGGCGGGTCGCCACCCTTCGGTCTTTGAGGGATATAAGCTCAAAAGCATTTCGACCGTCAAGAAGGGAAATGATTACCACATGGCGATCTTGCTCTCCAAGTAATGGATGGAAAGAAGTGGTTAGAGGCTGTGATACGAGTGTTTTCTTGCGGAGGAGATTTAGTCCAACGGGGAAGGACAAGAGCTTGTAGTTTTTTGGGATAGAAGTTGTTCTTTTTCTTTTTTGCTTAGTTACTTATTTATCTAATATATAAATTATTTTCATTCGCACGTTGTGATTATAGCAAAACCCGCCTAAACCGCTTTATGCCTCACTTTACCAATGTGGAAACAAACGCGCAACCAGCGTGCGGAATCGTCCAGCCTTATTACCGTCGGTCCAGTCAAATGGACGGTACGCTAACGGACGGT